TGTTGTTCATTGGCTGATGATGGCGTGAGCAGAACACGTGATAAAAAACAATCGCGTTGTTGGTTCAACTGTCTTTCTCCGTACACGGCAGCCGGCAAAAGTCAAACTCATTTGACTTTCGCCGTCGCCGTGAAACCGGGATGTAAAATTAATGGCGCCGTACGTGCCGTGTCAGTGGATACTGCGCCTTAAGATATAATAGATTTGAACTTTGCCGGTAGGGGTGAAAGACGCCGTTTCCGTGGCGTTCCGTGCCGCGCCGCGTGTGTGGAGACGGGCCTACAGACAGATAGATAGACCGACGGACAAACGAACAAACGGACAAATAGACCGACGGACAGACGGGACAAACGGACAAACAGACAGATAGACAGACAAACAGACAGACATACAACCAGACAGACAGACAGACAGACAGACAGACAGACAGACAGACAGACAGACAGACAGACAGACAGACAGACAGACAGACAGACAGACAGACAGACAGACAAACAGAGCTGATGGAACCTACATGGGGCAGTATAGTGGAGCTCTGTCACGTAGAGACTGTACGATTTACACAAGACAGACAAAGAGATCAGATATAGATTAAGAGAGAGCGAGAGAGAGGGCGGGGGGAAAACGTGACATATATGGAGAGAGAAATGGACGATCTATCGATGAGATTATAACTTATACATGTTTACATACATAAATAACTTGTGTATTTTATATTCGTACGTACGTTTACCTCAGAAATAAGGTAGCGAATATCACGAGAGACAAGCAGGCGTGGGTGACGGCCCATATGACGAGTGATATGACGAGATATTCTTCCTGCAGTCACGGTTAGTCACGGTCACAGTAAACTCACATTTTCCGCATCTCATCTTTCATAGGATCTCAGGATTGTAATCGTGGCTGGGCCATATCAGGTTGTGGTAGAATTACTGATAGTAGAAGGTTCTGACATAATATTGCTATATTGCCATAATTAAGGTTCTGCTATATATAATATTAATCGTATGTGTGTGTGTAATGCTGCGGCAGATAGGCGGGCCTTGGTTCTGCTGGCTGGTGTCATGATCGATCCTGTGCCCGCCGCGTTTCGACCTGCCTTCCGCCCGG